TACACATACATATATATACACACATACATATATATACACACATACATATACATATACATATATACACACACACACACACACACACACACATTATATATATATATATATATATATTAAATAATGTTTATGTTTGTTTTAATATAAGATTGCTTAATTTTTGATAGTGAGGTAGATTGGTGTAGTTGCCAGGAACTACACCTATTAAGGACACCCAGATCATGACTTTTAAAGATGGCAAAATGTGCCTTATAAACTTAAAACTTATAAACTTGAAGTATCAACATACGATATCGACGTCAGAAGCAAGAGCGTCATGACACTGGCGAGACACATGAACATGTTCCAACAGGATGCACACAAAAGAGGAGGAGATGCCGGGAAATGGTGCGAAAATTTGATCTCCTGTCCGGTATAAAAGTCTAGATGTTGGACATTAGAATATGCACCTTGAAGAAAACCGTGCAGGTCGAAATGCGTTGTGCTTTATATTTTATGCACTTTTATTGTTCATTTTTCTAACTTGTGTTAAGCAGAATTCTTTTACTTTGTTTTGTCTATTAAAGTCTTTTTAATTTACCTCCTTCTGAATTTTTACCAGACCCAGTGGCTCCATTAAAAGGTGGAGGAGAGGAGACAACCAGAACAAGTGATTCTGAAAACCCTATATAGTCAAAGCCTGCTATATGTGGCTCTGAAAGTGTGAGTTGTTAATTGTAACCTAAAATATTATTTATGTATACGTACAGTATTATGCTATGGACTTTTATATTTTTAGGTTGACTTTACACTGTGTGAAAAAGTGTGAATAAGTATTGTTTTAAAATTTCTAATTGCAATTATTTATTATTGTGCCCCCTATCTGTATCTTTTATTGGGAAACATAGGATGAGAACCATGAGAGGACAGTATCACAGAGACTGAGGGAATGAAGAGTTTGAAGAAGGAGGACATGATCAAAAGTGTAAAAGGCAGCAGAGAGGTTCCAGAAGCTTTGAGGAGAAAGGGAACAGGAATATGGGACAGTAGTTGGAAGGTGAAGACGGGTCAAGAGATAGCTTTTTTAGGATGGGTAAAACAGTAGCATGTTAAGGCAAGAAGGGACGATGCCAGAAGAAAGAGAGCAGTTAAAGATATGCCTTTAGGATCACACAAGACAAGGGGTGAGAGATCTGATAAGGTGAGATGGGATGGAATCCAGCTGACAAGTGGTGGGGCAAGAGGAAAGGAAAATCACAGCTACCTCCTGCTCGGTAGCTGGAAAGAAGACTGAAAGGTAGGAAAGTCATGGTCTTGTGGGTGAGAAAAAGAGAAGCAAAGGAGGGAGAATTATTTCCTTCATTGATTAATCTTGTTAGTGAAATAGCTTGCAATGCTATTGGCTAAATGATTAGTTTTGGGTGTGGCAACTGCAGTGCAAATAAGAGAGTTTAAGAGATGCCTATGACTGTGGGAGTATGAACTAATGAGAGATGAAAGGTATGATTGTTTAGCAAGGGTGAGAGCTATGCTGTATGAGCGCAAGATGAATTTGTAATGGTGCAAGATTTCCTCCAGCAGCGTTCATCTGAACAGGATCATCTATGTAGGTATTGGGTCAACTTAGTGTGCCAAGGTTGAAGTGTGTGTTTGGTAGTGGTGGAGGAGATAGTCAGAGAGGGACAGGAGAAGGTAGGGATGGATGAGAGCTGAGAATGGACATCAGCCAATAGTTTTTGTAGGTCAAGGGGATTCATGTTTCTCCTGAGTAGAGGAGGGTTAGGTTCAGAATATTAGGTGTGGAGCTTTCAAGAACAAAATAAGAATATGAATATTATTTGAAAGGAAACAAGACAGCAAAATGGTCAAGAAAGAGCAGATGGGAACCAGGGAGGCAATAAACAATGGCAATGTTTGCAGAGATGGGTTTGAACTGAATGAACTACAAATAAATAAAAGGAGATAAGGGGTGGGTAAAGATTTGAAGAAGCAGTGGGGTGAAAGCATAAATTCTACACTGCCACCTTTACTATCAGATTGTTTTCGGCTGTGAGTTAAATTAATACCACCAAAAGATAAGGAGGCAGGGGTAGTAGTGTCAGAGTTTCCGTTAATGTAAGTAAGTTTAGGGAACGTAAGATGAATAAGTCGTGGACAGCAGTTGATTTAGTTATGTTGCACACAAATGAAGATTGTGACAGAACCATCTGTCTGCTTGTATTTGGATTACATTCGTCTGTTTGTCTCCCGTTCGTATGAATGGCTGGTTTCTATAGCCCAGCCATTCGAATGACTCTTTTTCCCGAACAAACCTGCCGAACAAACGGCCACCCAGGAGAGAAGTGTGCTGCTGGTTAACCTATTGATCCCAATTAGAACGTTGTGGTTAACCGCAGACACTTCTCAATTAAACCGAATTCAGGGTGGTCGTCGTTCGTATGTCGACCACGAGGCAGCGGCCATTTTAAACCAAGCGAAAGCCCAGCGGTGTTTGGCTCTATTTCTATGGAACTAAAAACGGACACTTTTTCTGCCGAACACCGCTGAAACAACGGAACGCCTGGCTGCCTCCACGAAACCATACGAACACCGGCCGTTCGGGAGTTTTGGAGCATACGAAAGACTTAACCCAGATAGCCTTCCCATGGAGTCATTTGTATACCGAAAGACTGTAAGAACTTTGAATCCATGGCGATTGAACTATGTGTGTGGGATCTGAGCGCTATTCGCCAATAATATGCACTCAGATAAGGGCTATCTGGGGATATGTGATACGAATGAGAAATGTTCGGTTTTTGTGAAGTTATATATTTTTATGTCTTTTGTAGTTTTATATTTAAAATGGCGACTGGCTTTGTCCTGGAGTTAATTGAGTTACTTG